CACATCAAATGGAAACAGGATTGCTTGGAGCCCATATCGTTTCATGATGTCATGGACGTAACTGCTCGAGTATCCCATCCTCCCAAAACATTTCCTTAAGAACGATTCCTTCACTTCCTATTCAATTCCGAATTTTTGTCTCTACTTAATTTCGGGGGAGTCCTTTTTATATCATTATTATTGGTACGCATTTATAGTTACATAAGTAATAGATTAATTTGACTTAAATATAATTTAATATTTTTTTAAAGAGTTGATTATGTACATTCTAATTAGTGATCATCAAAAGTATCATGAAGCATGGCGTGGGACCGAGTTATGAAATTCACCGTTTCACCTTTTTGACAAATTGGTGTCGTGTTCTTATTAGTGGAGGAACAAGCTTTGAAAAATTGTTCGATCAACATGTTGAATAACCGGCATTAGTCTGTCAATCAACCATATAATTTGGAACTATGCAGCTCAATTTATTCATATTTCAATTTCTACAAAATACATGATTGTTTATAGACTATATATTGGTTGTTAACATCATGGTTTAGTCTTTTTATCTTAACGTTTTCTAATTAGTCTTTTATACTCTGATTCATGAGACTATTAGTGACGGTCCATGTTCAATTCATTGCACTTAGTCTTAGTCAATAACATGAACACAATTTTGTCCATAGTTTTTGTTTTGCTTTTACTATCTCTCAAATTTATCTTTCTTATTTAGTTTATTGACTCAAAAATAATAATGCGTTAAAAACTTACAGGCGGATAATCTGAGACACCAAACGATCCATAGGTTGAACCAATTGTTGACGACTCGCCAAGAAGCTCGGTGTATTCTAGCAGTTGCGGAGTATTTCCATCGTCTTCAAGCTCTAAGTTCTCTCTGGCTAGCTCGTCCGCGACAAGATGGATGATACCAAAAACAACTGATGAAGGAAAAAAACAATCAAGAGAATAGGTTGATTAGTTAGCCAGCTTGACCTCTTTATATATTGTCCACTCAATTAAAAAAACAGTACAATTAGGGGAAAAATTGTTTGGGCTTATTTTGTTATATGATTCTCAATATGTGTTTTTGATTAAGATGCAGATGATAGACAAACAATTCCATACCTATAATTCTTCCTTGTGCAAGTAAGCCCTTTTTTTCAAAAAAACAAAAAAAAATTCTTCCTTGTGCATGTAAAAAAAACTAGCCTTGATCTTCAATCTCAAAATCAAGCAGATACTGATTCATTTTTTTTTCTAAAAATATGAAAGAGAATTGAATTGAATGGGAACAAATAAATGTGAAGGGTGGCAACAATTGCAATTGCATGCAAGAAAGAGAGAGTGATTGTTGTTAATTAGGTCAAAAGCATTGACTAGTTAGGAAGGTGACAAATGGTGAGATTTGTAGGAAACCGGGAGGGACTTGGGATCAGTACCGTTTTTTTTTTTTTTTTGCTTTGGGTTCAACGCCTCTCATCTTTACTTTTCATTTCTTTATTACTCTGTCACAAATTTTGCC